GTCCACTGAGCCTCAGGCTTTCTGTTTTAGCAGAACCAGCACAGCTAATAGAACATAACATACTGTTGGCCAGTGAAGAGCCTTCAGCTCATTCTTGGTAGTATGGGGGAGTTTTATTCTCAGAAAAGTGCTTTGAAGAATTTGAATTTGTGCCCAGGTCACTGTTCAATCTGGCTGCTCCTTTTTAATGATATTCCCTGGTTTATATTAAGTCTTTAAGACACTTAGAATAGTGTTTCATATCTCAATGCTTATTAATATGTGATCGTGGTCAAATGCTTTACCCCTTGGGTGTATGGGATTCCTTAGTTCAGTGCATCCTTTATGAGATTAAACAAAATAAATACATGGGCTTTAGAGTTGGGTTCAGAGTAGGTTGTTAAGCCCCAGAAGAATAGGAGGCATTGTGTTACCATGGAAGGTCCTCTTGGAATCCGAGGGTTCAAATTCCACCTCTTGACGTTTACTGTGTCTGAGATTTTGGCAACTTAGCCTTCCTGAGTCTTGATTTCTTCATCTGGAGAATGAGAGGTTTGGACTTAGATAATCTCTGAGGTTCTTTTCAATTACACAGATCCTAAGATCTCTTTTGATCTGTAACCTTTATAACCTGTATGTGTGAAAGAATCATAGGATGTAAGCCTTCTATTTCCTTCTCTCCCTATTGTGTCCAGGTCATGAATATTTAAAACTTTCTATGAACTTCAAGCCCTGTGCCATGAGTAGAAGTTAAATTTGCCTTCGTACCGTAATTGCTATTTTCCCCTTAATGCTGTGCTGCTAGCTTATTTTTAATTCTATCTTTTATCCACAAATTTTTTTGAATATTTTTGTCTGATTTCTGAGTAAATCATCAGTAGAATGGAGAAGGAATGATCTAAGAATTCAGTGGGATGCTCATTTTTTCTTACTCCCTCAGACAGATCCTTTTCTGTAAATAGGAGTAGAAATTGTTTATTACAGAGGAATATTATCCAGAGGATAGTGTGTACTTGCATTTTAAAGGGTAAATTATGTGAGTGGGGATAGGGAACCTTGTGGTGAATTGGTCCCTACTATTGCTCTAAGTTGCTCTTTTCTTCTTTCTTGAGGAAAGGATCCATAGCTCATTGTTATTGTCCAGTAAACAGCCTGAGTTGGTTGCAACATGACAAGTGAGGTTGTGGAGGACGAGAGCCAATTCTACTTGAAGGCAGAGAAGTACTGGAAAGATGTCCCACCCACAGTGGACGGCATGCTTGGAGGGTATGGCCATATCTCCAACATCGACATCAACAGCTCCAAGAAGTTCCTGCAGAGGTTTTTGAGGGTAGGCAGGAGTGGGGTGGAAAGCATACTGGCTGTCATGGAACAGTGTCATTTGAATGGGAATGTCATGAAACAGCTGCTCTAATGTGTTGCAACTCAAACCAGCTGGCTGTTTTTACTTTCAGCACTTCAGAGTCTTCTTTCTATTTCCACCCAGCGCCCCCCCCCCCCAAAAAAATGGAAGTCATCTGTCCTGTCACTCATGTAGGTGACTATGAAGAAAGCCATAGGATTCTTCCAAATCCATGGCAATACAAGGGGACTTCAATGACATATCCAGATCCAACCCTGAGAAAAGCTATCCTCCTTCACTATTTTTGGATCTCAACTTAGTAACTTGACACAGCAACTACATTCATCCTTAATACCCTAGGCCTTCATTGCTACTTCTCTTCATAGGCCACGTATCCACCTATTTTCTGGTTTGCTTGATCTCTTTCATTGGTAGGGTAATAGTAAGCTCCATCCCCCTAGCTGTTTGGTATGGGGTACTTATATTTGGCTCTTTATGGGATGCTTTATTGGCAATCTGCTGCCAAAGCCCCATACGATCAAATGGTTGAAATAAAATTCTGCATAATTATGACAAATATTCAGATAGCACATAGGTTCTTACATATAACATTCATCTATTCGACATAAAAGTTCACATAGAAACCCCACTTCTATACAGTGAGTCAGATGAAATACTTTCCATGTTGAAAACTTTTACAGATGTTAATATGCTAACCCTGTAATAGCTCTGAGAAATATGTCTCATTTTACAAAGTGAAGCACCAAGAACAAGGCAGTGATAGAACTATGAATAAATCTATCAGACAGGTACCTTCACCACTAGCCAAGTGATGTACTAACAGCTTACTATTTTAGTTCTAATTTGTCCCTCGTGCCTAGCTTAGCGGGATCTTCCCCCTTTGTTTTAAAAGGGTCTTTGAGGTTTCATTGTCGTTTCTTACTAATCATATCCCTCTTCTTTTCAGGAAGGTCCAAATAGAACAGGGACTAACTGTGCTTTGGACTGTGGAGCTGGCATTGGTCGAATCACCAAAAGACTGCTCTTACCACTCTTCAAAGTAGTGGATATGGTTGATGTTACCGAGGATTTCCTTATTAAGGCTAAAACCTACCTGGGTGAGGAGGGCAGGAGGGTGAGGAACTATTTCTGTTGTGGTCTACAGGACTTCAGTCCAGAGCCAAACTCCTATGATGTCATTTGGATCCAGTGGGTTATAGGTAAGGACTGTCGTCCTTACTCTAGTTTCTTTTGCATTGGGGTGGGGAGGAAGTGCTATCAAGGCAGTTATGCTTCTGCTAGTTTGTAGGACATTCTTTGATCTCCTTTTGTTTCTGCCATGGTATCCCAGTACAGTACTGGAAACATTGCTTTCATCATTCTAGCAACACCCCTGTCCCAGAGAGGGTTTCTTGAGAATCCCCTTTGATGGAGAGTGACTTGGTTATTTAATCTAAAACAGTTTATTATCAGAAACAGATTTTGTCAGTTAAATAGTTTTTACCTTTGGTGGGGGGAGCGGGCGAGGCAATTGGGGTTGACTTGCCCCAGGGTCACACAGCTAATAAGTGTCAAGTATCTGATCTGAGGCCAGATTTGAACTCAGGTCCTCCTGATTCCAGGCCCGGTGCTCCCTCCACTGCACCAGGTAATCGTTTTAATAGTGAAATGATATGCTCCATATTGAGTAGATTAACCAAAGGGAAATTTTAAAGCCTTAAGCTTCCAGTCCCATCCTGAGACAGATGGTTTTTCATTTCTCTGGGGCTATGTTATAGGCCACAAACAGCTTTGACAGTCCTTTGTACCAATTGCTTCCAATTTATTTAACATGTCATTTACCCCATACCTGAAACTCAAAATAGGAAGTCCATGTACTCTCTCTTGGTGGCTCTACTATGTAATTAGATGATTGCTATGTCAGTCTTCTTTGAGAATAGCCTTTGAGCCATTAGCAGTGCCCCTTTTTCTGTTATAGAGCACTCTGCTTCAGTGGCAGGCCACCATCCCATAACAGCAATAAAAGCAATCACCCAACTAGACTTAAGCTCCACAAGGGAGACTTAGCCTCATCCCCAGAGGAAATCATGCTATCACAGTGGTAAAGTGAGTAACCTGTGTTCTGTTCCTAACATTCCTAAACCTATTCTCATTGTCTTTCCTCTTTGTGATCACATATAGGCTGCCCCTAAGAATGGAAGTCTGCTAGTGAGCTAGTACTATGTAGAGAACTGTATAACAGCTTTCTCCACCTCTAATTCCTGTCTGCCTTCTCTAGGTCACCTTACTGATCAGCACCTTGCTGAATTCCTACGAAGGTGCAAGGCAGGCTTGCGGCCCAATGGCATCATTGTCATCAAGGACAACATGGCCCAGGAAGGTGTGATCATGGATGATGTGGATAGCAGTGTGTGCCGGGACCAGGAGGTGGTACGCAGGATTGTCCGCCATGCAGGTCTTAACCTCCTGGCTGAAGAAAGGCAGGAAAACTTCCCTGATGAGATTTATCAAGTCTACAGCTTTGCCATGAGATGAGACCCAGTTTGGCATGACAGACACAAGAAGGGACCAGTGTGGGGTTGGGGAGGGGGGATGGGGACTGGAGCCAACTGACAGCTGTTGGGTCCAGCAGTGTTGTGTTATGGTTCAGGAGTATAGAAACAGCCCTATGGAGGCTGCCAAATACACCTGTATATTTGCTGTCAGTTTACTCTGTATAGATTCTATATTTAAAAGAAAAGCCAGACACAGGACGTATAGTGCTGCTGGACAGATAGAAGGTGAGTTGCAGGGGTTCCAAAGCAGAGAGTGCCAGCCAACATTTTTGTGAGCAAAATAGAGTAGGCCTGGATCATAACCATCTAGTAACTTTTTCCCCCATCTTTCCTTGTGCTTATATAGGGACTTGTTATTTTCTTCCAGGAATATGATTTACACACGATGATGGGTCTGGGAAAACACTGATCCTACCAGATGACTTTTTTTTTTTAACCAAAGGTCTGGCTGCCTTAACAGGAAGTAAAATCACCTTTAACTTTGCTTCTGTGGACATTAAAAAAGAATCCATTGTTATTTACTTAGCTGGGAAGCAAATTGTTCTCATCCTGTTAAGAGTAAATTAAGGCTTTGTTTCCTTTCACAGCCATGGTTGAGCTAAGCCTCACTTTGGTAACTGGCATCTGGGGGAGAGAAGGGGGTAGCCACAGGGTGTTCTATGTTGTGGGACTGTTCAATGTTTCACTAAGTATTTTGTGTGCTTGCTCTTAATGAATGTAACAAATTAGGAAAAGGGTTAAAGCCCCCACAGTTGCTCAGATTACAGCAGAGAATTTTTGCTTATGGTTTTACTACTCACTGTGCCTTGCTTTTGAATGTGGTTCTTCTTTGGCAAGCTGTTAGCAGTGTCGTTTTCAGTCAGAAATAAAAGGTAAATTCATTCAGTGTTAAAACCCTTATGTAAGGCAGAATGAAAATGTCATTTGCTATTACTCATGAGCAGAACACTGTCTTCCAGCCCTGAAACCTGGGCTGTTTCTGCCCTCAGAAGTCTCACCTGATGGCTCACTACTTTTTTTCCACTGGCTACTGAGTATACTGGCAAAACTTTTGCCATTTTTAACAATGGAAGATAGAAAATGTGACTCTAAAACTCTGAAGAGAGAAAGAGACTTTGTCAATGTTTAATTTTACAAAAGATCTCATTTAATTGCTTGAGCTTATTCCAAACATCAGTGCAGTATAGTATGGTGTTATACATCTTCAAATAGCTAGCATGTCTTTATTTTTGTGGGGAGGGGACAGTGACTATGGGTTTTGGCAGTGAAGTTTCACATTGTGGACTTAATTAAATGGTGATTTCCCATACTCAGTTGAAGCTTTCTCACAAAGACAAGACTGACTTTGATAAAAGGCCACATACTTGAATATACTCGTAATCGCTTTTAAACACAAGTAGTATCATACATAGCACTTTATTTTCCAGTAGTGAAATAAGAAAGCTCCTGGTTTTGGCACTTTAACCATTAACTTACACTGGGGTTAGGGAGATTATCAACATATTAGAAATGTTAGGTTCTTTGTACAGACTGCCTACAGCCCACCGATAAGGTGAGGTAGCTCAAACCAGCTGTATTTACATGCAATGCATTGTGACCTAACATTCCAGCCTGATAGCTCTGCAGTGCTGTTAGAAAGAGGTCTGAGCTCATCTTTCACCCATGGGAGATTAAGTGGATTTATATAAGTTTTCAGTAGCTATTTTCCCCTGCCACCCAAAAGGCACTTTGGCAGGAACTGCCAAGTAACAGCTAAGAGAACCCATGGTGAAAAATAGCAGAGAGCAAAGGGCAACATGTCTGACCTCTTTGCCCCCTCCCACACCTCTCACTCTGAAACAACCAATTTCTGGGTCTTCAGCTTTTGAAAGAGACTGACAACCCTCATAAAATCCCTTCAATTAGAGGGAATAAATAACATCATGTTTTACTAAGTGGCTTCTCTGGGAAGAATATAAATTTCCTACAGCTCCCAGAAAACCAGATGCTTGCTAAAACCTAAGAGAATTTCACAGAGTGGTAGTCTTTGTACCAACATAGGCAGATTTCTTGTTCCCTCCAATATATCTAGAGGTGAGCTTCAGTGGACAGACTGCTGCACAGCAAGTAAACTCTCACGTAAAAGAGATGAAAATTAAAGGATATCCTAGCTTCTCCCAGACCTAGAATGCAGTGCCTGTTCCCTTTCAGGCAAGGATTGGGATCCTTAGCCCATGGGGCAAAGCCACCTTTAATAATGCATCTTATATTAGGAATGAGTGAAGCTTCTATTATCAAGCACCCCAGTAGGAAACCCTAGGGAATACCCACATATCTTTCCTAGCACCCATCAAGAACCAGGTCTTTCCCAAACCTCTTCTTGTTTAGATGGAGATAAATGAGGAAAAAGGCTACCTCCTCTCTCCTCCCAGAACCCAGGGACCTATACTCATTTAGTGCACAAGTAGTCAAACTGTCACATTAAAGCTGCTCCAACCATTGTGCCCTTCAACCCGGGAAATCTCGGAAATCCAGGGGAGGGGGAGGAGGACAGGGCTGGGGGAAACAAATGGAAGATGAAGGGGCTTGCCTGAGTCATATCAGACATCATCATCATTAGAACCACTGTGCTCAATGAGAAGATACCACTTTAGCCTGTCAGGAAGAGGTAGGGCCTTGACCTTGACATCCACAGGCCAAGGTTGGAGCTGTTGGCGAATGTACACACGGCACAGATGTTTAAGGGGTGGGGGACAGTACTCTAGTTGCTTCAAGGAAGTGTAGAGGGCCTTAATCTTTTCTGCCAGGCAACCAGCAGGGTTGACCTCAAAGTTGCTAGGCAGCTGGATTCTCTGGGAACTAGCTACCATGAGCTCCAAGACAGTCTCTGCTTTCTGCAGGAGTTCAGTGTGGCTGTCATCTTCAGGGCAGCCTGGGTGGGAACAGAGTCTCTCAAAGATAATATGGAAGCCAGACCAGCAAGATGGGCCATGGAGGGAGCAATTGTAGGAGACTCCAGATTCCAGAAGGAAGCGCAAGAGTGGAAAGTGAAGCTTAAAGTTCTTGAGGCAGATATTGGTGAGAGATTCATGGGGTGGGCACTCACTAGGGTCTGCTCCATGGGCCAGTAGCAGCTGAGTAACACGAAAGCAAAACCGGTTGATCATACGGGCCTCCTCTTTGTCTCCTCCCACTGTTTCACCAAGCAGGAAGATGATGCATGTAAAGACTGTGTCACCATCTTTGGTGGTGGCCTTTACATTTGCTCCTGGAACATAAAAGGAAGATCACACTGCTAATAGGGCCAGTACATAAATTTCTATTCTTTTGGGGGGGGGCGGGGGGGGGTAGGCGATGGGGTTAAGTGACTTGCCCGAGGTTACACAGCTAGTATGTGTTATGTGTCTGAGGGCAGATTTGAATTCAAGTCCTCCAGAATCCAGGGCCGGTGCTTTATCCACTGCACCACCTAGCTGCCCCACCAGTATATAAATTAAAAGAGATGATTGTACCCAGGTATTACAGCAGGTAAACTTGAAAGGTAAAATTGTGTACCCAACATCTGAAGAAACCAATAAGATGAGAAAGAAAATGGACAAAGGGGGAGATATGAGTGGAAGTTACTACATATAAAATGGACTTCCACAATGCCTAGCCCCAGCCACTCACCTCCTTCCAACAAGAGGCGGATGTTCTCAGTGTTATGGATTTGGACCCCGTCGCTGCTGGCTAGTGCATGAAGCAAAGCTGTCTTTCCTGTAGAAGGACAACACTGTTAGTAAACATACTCAGCATTGTGAAGGAGACTGGCTAGTTAAGGTTGTTGTATGTGTAGGGAAAGAGCTACCTCTGAAAATTCCCCATACGTCTAGAGCTGCTGCTCTCCTGGACACTCTCCAATAAGGCTTCTAGTGCTGTTGCTTGGGTTAAGGGGATAACATAGAAAGTTAAATATGATTTTACAGAACAAGGACATATTTCAGGAAAGGTATTTTTTGAGTTTAAGTCAGGGATTTTTAAGCTGTTTTGTATCAGACCTCTTCCTCAGTGTTTTAATGAAATGTATAAAATACATTATGATTACAAAGGAAATTTATATATCTATATAATATTTATACATATAAATAATATATTGAAATTCAGTTATCAAAATATTTAAAACACGGTATTGCACACCCCAATTTTTGAACCTCTAGCCTAAGGTATTCTCTAAACCCTGGGCTAGTTTGGCAGCCCACAAAAGGTGGGCAAAGTCCTAGGTACACCCCTTTATGAATGTAGATATGGTAGCTGAAGACCAACGCTAGAGCTGGAAGGGACTTGGGAAACCAGTAAGTTACAACCACTTCATTTTTAGTATGTTTTGCCAGCTACGGGGAGATACAGCTTTGTATGTTACAAGCGCCTTTGAGAATTACTTTGTGAGAAGTAAATGGATGCTAAGTACCTTATTTAGGGCTAAATCAGAACCTGGAAGCCATGGGCCTGTGCTACAACAATAGACCACCATCCACTTTCTGCCTAATTCTAGATTTCCATTTTGGGGAGTGGGAGGAGTTTGAGGAGGGAAGGATTCATAATCATAGAGTGTCATCATCCTATCCAAGAGCTCCCCTACCATGTTTGTCAGCTGCATTAACATCAGCCCCAAGGTCCAGAAGTCGTTGCAAGCAGGGCAGCCGCTCGGGTTCCTCACTGGCCAAGTCCAGGGGACTGCTCTCGTGGATCTGAGCAGGAAGAACAGAAGGAGGCATTAACCAAAAGCCACCAGTGGTCACTGGGGTGGGGCAGGACAGGGGAGAGGCTGGGAGGCATGGAGTTAGGACTTAAAAGAATCTAGGTAGGGTTCCTGGTGATAGGACATTAAAGCGTTGAAGAAATGCCATTCTTAGCATGGGTTGGCTATAATGTAGAGGTGGTTACAAGCTACCAAGCTTTTTCACCCTTTATCCCTAGACCAGCATACCCGGTCTCTCCTGTTAATGTCGGCCCCATGATGCACCAGCAGCTCTACCATGTCAGGTTGGTTGCGGAGGACAGCAATGTGCAGAGCAGTGTAGTAAGTGACAGGATCTAGAGACAAGAGAGGCTATGAGACTTCACTGGCCAAAGCAACATACACACACTATCCCACAACATCTGGCTCCAGAGTCCGGCTTTGATCTCATAGTAATAGGTTCTTCAGCAAAGGCATCAAGGGAAAAGATGGAAGATGGAACAACAACCAAAAAAAAATTGAGGCACCAGTAGGTGCATTGCTTCCTGATTAGCAGAACCAATTTATCTAGTCCTGTGTAATTAAGCAGGACCTTTCCTCCCCTAAAGGCATCCAATCTTATACCAAGATTTCTCCTCCCACTTAGTGGTTCAAATTCAAGGCAATGATTCTCAGCCAAATCCTCCCTTGAAAAGCTTTCACAAACCAAAAGTGCTGGACTAGCGGTACAGAGCCTAGCCAGTCCTGAGGACAAGCACAGCATCTCCACTCAACCCCACTATCTGTAATTAAAGCAGTTAAAAGTCACCAATGGCACAACTGTGTTAAAATGCCTTGTACAGCTATACGTTACCCATGACTGCCCGCTGCCCAGGCCCTACCTACCCCATGTAATCCAAGAACCACATTCTCCTTTGCGTGGAGCAGTCTGGTTCTGTGGCCATTTACACAACGGGAAACTAATGCTTTCGTGCCATGATTTATGCCCAAAGCAGCTTATCTGCTCTCCTCTCCATACGGTATTAACAAATAAACTGCAAGACAGCTCAGAGAAAAGCAGCAAGAAATTATCTTCTCTTAGCCCTGGGCTCAGTGCCAGCAGGCGCATTTTCATTAACGTTAATGGGAGAGGCGACATAGCCGGGGACTTGGGGAAAGGCTGCCAAATCAATCACACAGGAGGAGCTGAAGCAAAGACAGGGCTTCAGCTAGAATAGAGGTGGCAAGAAAACTATTTAACAGGCAGAGAGAGGAGGAGGCGGCAGCAGCACTCAGCCAAGTCCTCTTCTCCCCCTCGTCAGGCATTTGTCCACAAGTTTGAAAGTGAATGTGGCTGCTCTCAGAGCTTAAACAATAAAAATTAAAGTGATACCTGAGGAATCAAGGACCAGAAACATCTAAGACCTGGCCTTTACCCCAAGGCATGATCCCACTCTTAAGCTGCCTGCTCAGCCCCTACTAGGGCTGTCACAGAAACTTTTGGAATGAAACACCACTAATCCACTGACCTTCAAAGTTGAGGTTGGCTCCATTCTGCAAAAGAGTGTCAGCCGCATGTGTTAGCCCAAGCTCTGCCATCTTCAGCAAGGAATAGCTCACACCTTCCTGGTAAAAAGGGGAATGCGCCTCCCTCTCCAACAGCTCATTGAGAACAAGGACCCGACTTCCATCATCGGCCAGATAAGTCGGGCTGAGACACGTGAGGGAAACCAGATGGTTAGAAAGGAACACACTGGTAAGAGGCCTAAGCGTAAGACATCTGGTATGAATGGGTAATACCTTCCTGACAGCCTACTCTATGTTAAAAAGGACAGTGCCTTAATATTTTGGTTTAGTCCCGTACTAAAACTGCCCATTTAAGCATTAACTCAGCCCTGAAAGAAAATTTTCTGACAATTTTTTACACAATGATATTTATCTGCTGAATGAGACCTTGTTAATACTGTGTGGAGAGGAGAGCAGATAAGCTGCTTTGGGCATAAATCATGGCACGAAATCATGACAGAGTTTAATATTGGAGATTTGTAAAGTCCTAGGTTCCTGTCACTGGCTTCTCTAGTTGCTTTCTCAGATTACTGCCTGAAGGGATGTCTTCAGTGTGCAGCTGTACACTTGGAATTGGTTTGGTTGTTTGGTCATCATCGTCAAGGAGCTGGGACATTGTTAAAAAAAATATTGCAAGTACCAAGAATTCAATCCATATTTTTTATCAATGCTCCCAAGAATTTCAGAATGAGGAAAAGTCAATCTAAATCTACCAGGTGTTACTGTCCTATTTGTACACACTACTTCCTCAATAGACTCCCTTTACATGAAAGTTAAAACACATGTCTAAATTACAGAATGTCAAAGCTGGAAGGGATCTTTTGAGATCATCTAAACCCCATCTTGTAACAGTACATAGTTTTCCTTTTTTTTTTTCCTTACAACATAGTTAGATGACTTTAGGCCGCAAATGGTTTTCTAAAGATTACATGGAGACTTTCCTACAGGGGTTCATGCACTCCCACTGACCAAAACTCTAAATGCTGAGATAACGCTAGTGGTTAAAGGAACATAAACTTAATGTTTTGTCTGAGACATTATAGGAATATAGTTAGGCCTCAATTTTTAAGTAAACCCAATACATGAAAATGTAGGATGCCACAGAAGGCATGTTAGGGGAGTGATTCTTCCCTTTCCAAAAGGATTAAGCATAGTATTCTGTAAGGGTTTGCTCCTCTGATGTACTTCAAAAAGATTTGATGACCAGATCAGACAACTTCAGAAACATACTTGAATGTGAAGTACTGATACAAAGGCACTATCCCCATTCATCTCTACTACAGATGGAGGATATCAAGACACAAGGAGGAAGAAACTGAGGCAAGAATGTGGGTTTCTCTAAAACCACAAAGTCAGTTAAAATGCAGGGCTATGTTCCCCTAAATACAGTATCCTGACTCCTGAGTCACTGCTTCCTAAAGACTGGCACTGGCTCTCCCATCTTTGCTCCAGTTACAGAATCCATTGTCAGAAAGGGGGTATCTCCACTTGCCATAATCTTCAGGTAGCCTTCACTGCTTTAGACAAACCATAAAGGAAAAGAATTTAATTACCTCTCCAGACTGTCCTGTCTGTCAGGATCTTGTATCCCCAGAGATCCCAAAATTGTATCTACCAAAGGCTGGTACTCAAAAATGATCCTCCGGAAGCCATGTAGAAAGGGCATTGTGGTAGCTTGGTCAGAGTTCCCAAAGGAGACTCTTGCATCAGTTGCAAGAGTTAAGGGCTGGTTCCCTCTGAAAACAAGAGATTGTTCTGGGTTCATTCCCTCAGGGGAGCCTTTGAGCACTTCTATATTGCTTCAAATAATAAGATGTGCATAAAAAAAAAGTAGAGAACCACAAACTATTAAGAGTTGAACAGTAATTTAGAGATCATTATAGTCCAACACTCATTTTACTGCTGAAGAAACTAAGACCCAGCGAAGTCAAGTGACTTTGCTAAGATCATACAGCTCTCGTTTGGCAGAGCAGAGTGACAGAACCTCTACAACATCCCAAGAAGTGGTCAGCCAGCCTCCCTTTGATGTTTGCCACTGATCTGCTGAGACAGCCCACCACATTTTTGGATAGCTCTTGACTGTTGGCAGGTTTTCCTTGTATTATACAGAAAGTGGTCTCACTGTAACTTCTACCCCCTTGGCCCCTAGGTCTGCCCTCTAGAGGTCCCCCATATGGAGCAGGACTAATCCCTCTTCCACATAAATACATGATCTTTTCTCCTTGGCATCTCAAGTCACACTTGGTGATTCTCTTGTGATACTTCCTGCATTATAGTTCTCCTGTATAATTTCTGCATATGTGTGGATGTATGTGTGTATATGTGTATATATATATATATATATGGCATCTGTGGTTAAGTGACTTGCCTAGGGTCACACAGCTAGTGTCAAGTGTCTGAGACCAGATTTGAACTCAGGTCCTCCTGACTCCAGGGCCAGTGCTCCATCCACTATGCCACCTAGCTGCCCCTGTTAATATATTTTTGATACCACTACCAAACTGTGAGCTCCATGACAGCAAGGACTATCTCATCTAACCTGCCTGTCTTCCCACTGTGGGACACAATGCTCTACACATAGCAGCATAAATCTATGTCAAATTAACATAAAGCATATACACTAGCTGTATGGAATTCAGCCTCCTTGGCACTTGGAACTCAGATCTCCAAGCGCCAAGGAGGCTGAGTTCAATTCAGTTGAACAACATTTACTAAGCATGTACTTGAAAGCAGAGAGGGGAAGTTATTTGCTCCAGTCATAGAGTAAATAAGTGGCAAAGCTTACCTCCAGCGTAAGTTAAAGACACACAGCAAAGTACTTTGAGTTGGGGGTTGGAGGTATAGTTATTATCTGTAATAATGCATTCCATGGTGTTCTAAAGGTTGCAAAACACTTTTCTTGTAATCTTGTGAAAAGAAACTGAAGCTCTTGGAAATGAAGTGAACTGTCCAAGACTACACTGCTAGAAAACAGCAGCACCAAAACATAATTCAGGTTTTCAAATCCACTCTTTCCACTGCACTATGTATACAAAGTCTTCAGAATAAGACAGGCTGGTGTATGAGACCTACAATCAGTGTTATGTGAGAGGACAAGGTACTAACTTTGGAAAATGAACTCCCCCTCTGACAATTATTTGTGACCTAAGCAAGCCACTTTACTTCTTTGGGCCTCAGTCTCCTCATCTACAAAACGGGGAGAATAATCAAGCCAAAGGAACCTTTTCTTAGAAAAATTTTAAAGAACTTCAAATTCGTACAGGTGAGTTATCTTAATTATTACTAGGGGAGGGAGGCTTCTTGGAGAAGGTGGCAAGGAACTGGACTTTAAAAGATGGAGAGCGGGGCAGCTATGTGACGCAAATGGCCTTAGACTCAGGAGGATCTGAGTTCAAATCCGCTCTCAGACCAGACACTTGACACCAACTGTGTGACCCCGGGTAAGTCACTTAACCCCAACTGCCTCACCACTAAATAAATAAATAAAAAGATGGAGAATAAGGGGTTTAGCTTTACACTGCAGAGAGCTGGGAGCAATGATGGAAGTTACAGATAAGATATCGGCCGGATGTAAAGGACTTCCTGAGGATTAAAACTATCAATCCAGAAAAGGAGCTGCCTGACTAAGTAATGAGCCCTCCATCAGCGATGGTGGTCAGTCAGAGGCGGGATGACCACCTATCAGGGATGTAGGGCAGGGTTGGACGCCGGGCCCCTCAGAATCGCGTCAGAAGGAGATGCCGGCAGTCCTGTCAGCGCAGAACCCGGAGCGGGGTCTCCGACCCGGCCCGGTCGGCCCCGACTCCAGCCCTGCCCTCCGCCCTCCTCCTCGGACAACCAGCCCGCCTCCCTCAGCCCCGCGCGGATCGACTGCCCCCATAGCTCCAGCAGCTGGGCCCCGCTCACCCTCATCGATCCCGCGTCCGAAGCCGCAGAGAACCCGGCACCGGAAGTTACGAAAGCTGTCGCGAGGGAAAGAACGGAAGCGGCGGAAGGGTACTAGAGGATCGGACTTCCGACGTCCGACGCCCCACGCCCCCTGGAGGGCCGGAGGTGCAGGGCAGCGCGGGGCGGGGCGGGGCGGGGCGGGGCGGGGCGGGGCGGGGCGGGGC